TCAGACTGGCAATCTGAAGACCATTCCAAATCATGAAAAGGATGAAACTTTGTAACTTTGTTTTTCCATAAGAGCAGTGGATGTAAAAAACCAAACTACTTTTAAGACAGAGTGTGATAAATCAAAAAATGGGATTATGTGAAGTGGTGGTGTAAGGGTCTTATCCAGGAGGTCCTGGCAAGTCCTATGTATGTCTTATGGTCCTAGAGGGAGAGTTAATGCTTAACTACTACTCAGCTGTCAGGTGGCATAACTTAATCCACTGGAGAGCCCAGAGGTGAAAAAACAGCCGTTACATGGAACTGCAAGAGATTGCTTCCCACAGGCAGATCTCGGTGAACTGTATCCCACTCATCTATGTTGTCCTGAGTTTGTTATCAGAATTAAATTCAGTTGAAAGACTCATTTTTTTTTCCAATAATTTTCATAATCTTAGCCACAGCAATTACTGGCAGTTGATTGTAGATTCTGTAGCGTGCTTCTGTCAGACTAGAGATTACATATGACAAGAAAAAATGTGATCCATCTTCTACTTGCTTTCTCACACCTGTAAGCTGGGACAAACCGTATTGTGATCTTTGATATACATGTTAGAAACTGTGAAAGGAGAAAAAAGCTTGAAATGTCATGGTTTCAGAAGGCAGGGAAGTCAGAAAGGGAAGCTGTGCTTGTATCCATCACTCTGCCCAGAAAGGCTGTTAAATTTTTGTGATTTTTTTTTGTAAGCAGTTCTGCTCCATGTCTCCTAGTTATGCACCAGAGACACATCATCTGAGCAGAGTTAGACAAGAGAGTGACTAGGGCGTTGGTAACACTAAATGCCTTGTCTACATTAGTCCTCCAGTTACTAGTGGAACTGAGAGGTAGAAATTTCAATTGAAAAGTTAGCAAATGCATCTGTTATGGATTAACACTCATAGGCAGCTAAGCCTCATGCAGCTTGCTCAGCCCCCTGCAGCTGCTTGTTCAGTCTCCCACAGCAGGATAGGGAGAGAATTGGAAGGGCGAAAGTGAGAAGACTTGTGTGTCAGGATGAAGACAGTTTAATAAGTAATCAAAAACAAACAAGCAAACAAACAAGTGATGCAAAAGCAATCACTCACCACCAGCTGACCAATGTGAACCATTCCCTCAGCAACAGCCACCTTGGAAAACTCCCCGCTGTTCCGCAGCTTCTAATGTGGAATGTGATGTTATATATAATATATTCCTTTGGTCAATTTAGGTCCAGTGTTTTGGCCATGTCCCCTCCCAGCCTCTTGCCCACCGCTACCTGACTCACTGGGGCAGCAGAGTGAGAAACAAGAGAAGGCTTTCATGCTGTGTAAGCACTCTTTAGCAATAGCAAAACCAATGGTATGTTATCACCACTGTTTGGTCACAAATCCAGAACTTGGCTCCATAAGGGCTGCTATGAAGAAAATTAACTCAGTTCTAGACAGATGCAGTACAATATCTCATTACTAAAAAAAAGACAAAACATGCCAGTGCTAATGAGTAAGTAGTTCCTTTTTCATTCCAATGGGATTTGCTCCCCTTCACTGAGGGATTAATTGGATGAGGAATTAATTTGTGATTCTCTGATTCTCTATTTTATTTTCAGGCATTTCTCTTTCAGTGGTTATTTCGGTTTCAGTGATTATTTTGTTGCAGTGAGGTGGTAAGTTGATGTTAGCATGTGATGTAATATCTTCATTTGTCTACGTCGCTACCTGGTGAGGCTTCATCATGGGTAGGCTAAAATTTTATTATTTTTACGTGCTTAAAAATCCAGAAATAAGGCCGTTCACATATTTACACCATTAAGTTGCTTCTATTACTCTCTTGCACCAGCCCCAATGACCCTTGTGGGACAGTAATGTACTGACAAAACATTGCCTGTTGTAGTCTTACAGAAAATTTTGCTTCTGCTATTTTAACTAAAACAGCACTGCACAGTAAGTAGGAAAGACAAAGTTACCTTCCTAAAAGGACAGCTGAATTTTGAAATACCACCTCAGTTTCTGTTTCTGGCAGACCTAAAACTGGGAGGAAGCTGAGTGGAAGCTTCTATATTTTTCTCCATTGCAACATGTAAAGATTAATATAATGGAGTTCTTACCATATACGGCTTGTCTGTCACCTGTGAGAAAGATTTGGGTGGTCCAGCCATCATTTGAAGACAGTGTTGTGTCCAGGGGAGACTCTGGGGTTTATGCAAAATGCTGTGTGATTTGATGGCTGTTAGAATTGGTCATCAAACTACAAGCCTCTGCCTCTGACAACAGCAACTTCTCAGGCAAAAGATGTGGGGCTTTCAATTCCCTATGTTTCTTCTCTGTCCTTTTCTTGTGTCAGAAATAGTGTGGCCATCAGGACTATGGAAGTGATCAGCCCCCTGTACTCAGCACTGGTGAGGCTGCACTTCAAATACTGTGTTCAGTTTTGGGCCCCTCACTACAAGAAGGACACTGAGGTGCTGGAGTGTGTCCAAAGAAGGGCAACGATGCTGGTGAAGGGTCTAGAGAACAAGTCTTATGAGGAGTGGTTGAGGGAACTGGGATTGTTTACCCTGGAGAAATGGAGGCTAAGAGGAGACCTTATCACTCTCTACAACTACCTGAAAGGAGGTTGTAGCGAGGTGGGGGTTGATCTCTTCTGCCAAGAAACAAGTGAGAAGACAAGAGGAAACAGCCTCAAGTTGTGCCAGGGGAGGTTTAGAATGGATATTAGGAAAAGTTTCTTCACTGAAAAGGTAGTCAGGCACTGGAACAGGCTGCCCAGGGAAGTGGTTGAGTCCCTATTCCTGGATGTATTTAAAAGACGGGTAGATGTAGTGCTCAGGGACATGGTTTAGTGGTGGACTTGGCAGTGCTATGTTAGCAGTTGGACTTGATGATCTTAAAGGTCTTTTCCAACTTAAATGATTCTATGATTCTATAAAACGTTTGCTTTGGGGGGAGTTTAACTAAGTATTAGTGCCTTAAAGATAAGCTCACTGTTGTGACACTGTTTTGAGCACTTGAGACATACTGTAAAGAGATTCTCTCCAGTGTCATCCAAATCCCATGAAACATCAGATTCTTTTTTAAAATTTGGTTATAAATTGAAGACTGATATAGTATAAAATTGTGAATCTTGTTTATGTCTTGTCTTGGTTTGCCAATATATAGCCTGCTTTAAGAACCTGTTGACACAAGATGCTGTTCTCTCCCCATTTCCAACTGCTGAATTGCATTTAAGTTTCTTACTGCTGCTTTTCCTTGTGAATGCTGTATTCTGTCACTGGTTAGAGAGAAATATCACAGGAATATCACTGATTAGAGGGGAATATTGCAGATGATACCAAGCTGAGTGCTACAGTTGACACACTTGAGGGAAGGGATGCCATCAGGGGGACCTTGACAGGCTTGAGGAGTGAGCCCATGTGAACCTCAGGAAAGTTAACAGGACCAAGTGCAAGGTTCTGCACCTGGGTTGGGGCAACCCCTGGTATCAAAGCAGCCTGGGGGATGAAGCATATGAGAGCAGCTTCGTAGGGAAGGACTTGGGAGTACTGGTGCATGAAAAACTGGACATGAGCAGGCAACATGTGCTTGCAGCACAAAAAGCCAGTTGTATCCTGGGTTGCATCAAAAGAAGCATGGCCAGCAGGTCGAAGGAAGTGCTTCTCCCCTTATATTCCATGCTTGTGAGACTCCACCTGGAGTACTGCATCCAGTTCTGGGGTCCCCAGTACAAGAAAGACATGGACCTGTTGGAGCAGGTCCAGAGGGATGGAACACCTCTCCTGTGAAGAAAGGCTGAGAGAGTTGGGGTTGTTCAACCTGGAGAAAGAAGGCTCCAGGGACACCTTATTGCAGCATTTCAATACTTAAAGGGGGCTTATAAGAAAGGTAGAGAAAGACTTTTTACCAGGCCTGTAGTGATAGGACAAGGAGTAATTGTTTCAAACTAAAAGACAGTAGATTCAGACTCGATATAAGGAAGAAATTTTTTACAATGAGGGTGGTGAGACACTGGAAAAGGTTGCCCAGAGAATTTGCGGATGCTTCATCATGGGAAGTGTTCAAAGTCAGGTTGAACAGGGCTTTGGACTAGATGACCTCTTCAGGTCCCTTCCAACTGAAACTATTTTGTGATTCTGTGATTTTTTGATTGTCCATGTAATACAACAGAACAGCTGTCCATAATACGTTCTCATGTTGTTATATATGTATTTAAGGATTCCTTTGCTAACACATCAGCTATTTGATGCATACAAATTCCTTACTTCCTTCCCCTTTGACTATGTCACAGTATAATTTGTATTTTTTCAGTATAATACATTTTGCATTTTAATGATATTTCTAAACCTGTTTTTACTGAAGATTATGTAATGCTATAAATCGAAGAAACAGAAAACACAATGTGACTAATTGTAGCCTAGAAGATTATAAGGGCCTTAAAATTAAGCCAAAAAGGATGATAAATTGCAATAAAGAAAATAATGAAACAAATGCATACATCCATTATCTTTTTTAATCAAAAGTATGCAATGCTGGATACCAAAGACAGAATTCTTGATATAGTAAGTTTAGTAGGAGTGGTTGTTCCTAATGAACAGGTTCTATAAAAAATACTAAGATGTTTTTCAGTTAGCAGGCAAGTTTTCTAAAGTGGCCAAACCAAAAGCCAACTTCTCTAGTTACAACTGAGGTCAATAGGTATCTCATCCTTGGTAAAATCAAGATCTTTGCAAGTCTTTGCTGCCTCCTTCCAAACTCTCACTAAACCATTGCTGATTAAGGGAAGTCCATATGAGTGCAACACAGCACCCTTGCCCCCCCCCAGTGTTAGTGACCACTGCAGAAAATATTTATTAATCTCTTACTCATCATCACATTTAGGAGTTTTTTCTTTGCTAAACTGAGTATGCCTTTTCTATTTACTTTCTCCCTTCATGTTTAGGGTTTTGTTTTTGTTTTTGTTTTTGTTTTTGTTTTTTTTATGGGCTGATTTTAATTATCTTTCCCTCACAGGCTGCTTAAAAAAGCTTAAAGTGCTCAATGTGAGTTTCAATAATTTGAAGTCAGTTCCTCCAGAACTGGGTGACTGTGAGAATCTGGAAAAACTGGATTTGTCTGGAAATATGGAAATAACAGAGCTCCCATTTGAAGTAAGCTAACAAACTATCTTTCTTCCATCTTTTTTGCTTGGCTTATAAGGTGTTTTATCAGAGTTTTAAAATCTTTTCTTAACAGATTAAATCACATTCTTTGTAGTTTTTAGCAATAATGTTTTAGTAGTAATATCACTGAAAATTCCTTAGCAGCAGTTAAACGGGACCGAGCTTCTTTGTTTCAGTTTTCAAGTGACTAAATTTGGCTTGTATTTATTCTGATATATGAAGAGGGACATGATCCCAAAGGGTATTTGGCCAGTGGTGATAAGCAGAAGGCTACAAATAGCTATTTTCTACGAAAGTGAAGTGCATCTTGATGGTTAAATTCACATACTAACCTTCATTTGTTCCATCTATTTTCCTTTAAAAAGAGTATGGAGACTTCTATAAACAACACTGCATGTTGCTATGAGCATAAATATCTGTCTAAAAAGCATATTACATTTGAGGCATGGTATGAATATATAATAAAGATTGCAAAAAGGACTCCCAGGCATGCACCAACATTGTTTCTTGTGTTGGATGCATAACTGCTCTCTGCCACAGCTGCTCTGAGACTTATTGTTCATGGAGAAATGAAAACATTGGCTGGTACCTAACCACAGTTTCAGATGTCATTTGTATTTCTCAGGTTCTTAATATCCTGATTCCTGGAGGATGAGTGGGGTGAGCTTTAGTGAGAAATGTCAGGATCTTCTTTACTGATTCCTACTTTTTCTCTAAACATCTGTTACTAGTCATTTACAGGCATTGTTGGAGTGGATTAAACTTATGTGAGATCTCTTTTGGCCATGCTTATGTTCTGTTCTGAGGAAATGCAAACTGTAATTAACTTTCCCCTCTGACTTTTCACTGTAAGGTAGTTTATCTGAAAAGAATTGCTAAAAAATGATGTGAAGGAAATAGAAACAAAGGGTGAACATTAACTTCACATCATAAGTAGACACTGCATAGAAATGCTAGCACAAACAGCACGAAGAGTGCAGGTATCCTTTCTCCTTCCTCTCCTCCTCCTTCAGATAGCAAAGATCGCAGACAAACCAGGTAAAACTTAATTGGTAAAAAGGAACCATAATAGAATCAGAAGAATATATATCCTGAACTGGCAAAGGAATTAAATATGAGCATCTAGGAAAAGTGTGTATATTCAAACCTGTGGACTAGAACGGTGAATTTAGCCCCAGTCATTGGTATGTTAAAATGAGTATTTTAATCAATAAATATTTTTCCAGTTGCTTCTAAAGGCCTTGTAGTGCAAAGGCTTACCCATGTCTGTGCATTATGGGTAGCCTTTGCATGTAAACCTAACTGTGCATGCAAGTCTTTCCAGGGCTGAGTCCTAAGAGACCAGTGTTTCTCTTGTAAATCTCAAAAATGTTGCTCCATTCTGGCAGCCTCCTATTCAATGGGATTGAAAGCCACTAAAACTGAGTCTAGGCTACTGGGTAAGGGTTCACTTACAATCCATGGAAAAAATTTGGAGCTGTACAAATCACTTTATATAACAGCAAAAACTGGAAGCAACATCATGTCAGCATGGTCTAAAGGGTCAAGAAGAAAAATATTGGTATTGTCTGTTGTGTTTCCTTGTTTCTCTGGAGGCTGGCACTTAATTTATATTTGCAGTGACCTGGGAGGTAGGGTGCAGAAACTCTTCTGATTTAATTTATAAAATTAGTTCCCCAGAATCAACATTTCGAGGGCAGCTTTGGAAGCTGAACATACAATTAAAGGAACATTTCTGTCAAATGATTTAAAATGCTGCAGAGTTTGGTCTTTGGTGTACTCAATGTGGTTGATGTATCCTTGCTAATGTAATAGGTGTCTGATGTTTAATTCTCTGATAAGCAAAAGGCCGTAGTCACTGGCAGGTAACTATTTAATGAATTAAAATATTGAATTAGTCTGAAAGGTCTAAAAAGGGAAAACAGAAAGACACTGTGAAGTGTTGTGGTGGGCTAACCTTGGCTAATAGCCAAACACCCACCCAGCTGCTCAATCCTTCCCCCTCCTCAGCATGACATTGGAAGAAAATAGGATAAGGAAGCTCATGGGTCAAGAAAAAAGACAGGGCGATTGTTTACAATTTACTGTTGTGGGCAAAACAGCCTGTACTTAGGGAAGATTAATTTGATATTTGCCAATATATTGGGGTTTCTAGCTGCTTCTCCTTCCTCCTCACACTTGTCTGCTCCAGCATGGGGTCTCCATGGGCTGCAGTTTCTTCAGGAATATCCTTCTGCATCAGCATGGGTCTTCCATCAGCTGTGCTGTGGAGATCTGTTCCACCATGCAGCACCTCTTCCTCCTCCTCCTGCTCAGACCTTGGAGTTCCCCCCGCTCTTTCTCACTCTTTTTGTTCTCTCCCCCTTTCTCTGGTGTTTTCTTCCCTTTCTTAAGTAAGTTTTTAGAGTGGCACCACACACTTGGCTGAGGGACGTGGCTGTGTCCTGTGGTGGGTCCGTTGGAGCTGTCTGTGTCCAGCATGGGGCAGCCCCTCATCTCTTCCCGCAGAAGCCAACCGGCAGCCCCCATGCTGCCAGCACCTTGCCTTGGGCATCCAATACAAGTATTTATGACCCCAAGTTAGACAGATCAATTAGTACTTAAACCAATTGTTGCTAACATCTATTAATCTAGTGAAATGCTCATAAGTGTTGGTCATCTTTCTCTCCTGTGGTGTGAGTACCGGGAACTCGAGAGTGTAAATGAGCAAGTGCGTGCAAGCTCTGTTTTGGTAGATGAATGGGTTCCCTTTACAACATTAGGAAAAAAAGAGAAAACTTGGCAACTGATACACAAAATAAGGTGGAGAGTTGCTAAAAACGTTTCCTGTTTATCATCTTTTAGGAAGTTCAATTTTTATTTGACTTTCAATCATTTAAAGTTTCTTCTGGGAAGGTAGAGAAATGCATGAGAGCAGCAAGAGCGTTCTCCAGTGTAAAACTTAGTCAAAAGAAATAAAGGCAAACTTCACCCCAGCAGAAATGATCAAAGTCTAATTTTACCTTGGTTTTGTACATAGAATAATGGCCAGAGAGACACTGATAACATATACAAAAATGGATTCAAAGAGATTGATAACGTGCCTGTAATTCAGTCAAGAATTTTTGACAGACCCATAAAGGTTTATGAGATCATCAGAACTCTGAGACTGAATTACATCTTCAGTAATCAGTCCCCCTGTTCCTTTTCTATCTATTTTCTTTATGACAGGTGCAAAAAATAGAGAAGTCTTGAAGCTCTTAGTTTATTTGATTATTTACTTGTTTGCTTTCTTAGGAAAAGAGTTCAGTTTTTGAGGTTTTTTTTGTTTTGTTTTTAAATAGACAGAAAATATTACATGATGCACTAATTTAGAGGGAGAAATCTCAGTGAGATGGATCATATAACACATAACTGTTATTGCTACCAAGAAGTGATAGAGGGCGAACATAGGTTATTACAGAAAACCACACAATGTCACCAAATAGCCATTGCGAATGCAAGTTCCTAATTTGTGAACACAGCTGCCATATATGTGTATAAATTTTTGCTGGCATATCAGTTGTTTCTGTGTCTGAATTTGTCAGTCAGCCACATAAGAAATTCAGGTGTTATGATGTCTATTAAGTCTGTTAATTTGTTTTGTAAACAGGGAAATGTCAGGAAACACAAGATGCTAAGCACCTTTATCTTGTAGTGCTTTTCAGGTAAACCACAGCTGTTAAGGAGTCCAGCACGTATACTGACTTTACTTCTTGCCTTTTTAATCTACCAATTTCATTTTTCAATGCAGCTGTTTTAAGCTGAGGTATGTTATGATTGAGATGTTCTAGCACAACTGAAATCTTGTGGACCTTCATTCTGTGTTAATAGATTCAATATCTGGTAGTGATACATCCACCTTTTTCAGTGTGTGGGGAAAAAAACCCAGCCCAAACCACAGCATTCTGCTCAGCCTAATGCAACTTGTTTTGTGGAGTGGCTGTATCTGCCTACTAAGAACATGTATGTCCAGTACCTAGACTTTTGTCAGTATTTCTGTTTAGGTGTGCTTTGGAGCCATGCCTTGAGTGATGTGCTTCATGCCACAGCATCAGGAGTCAAGCACACTGTTCACTTGTCTGTTCAGTTCTTGTAGAAAGCTCTTTCACTGTTTTCAAAGACCACTTCCAGCACTCTGTAAGTCATCTCACTGAATCTTAAAATGAGGTAATCTGATGCTCCATTAAAAAAAATTGAGGGTGTGTGCTCTCACCTTTTACTTTCTCAAGGCTTAGGATTTCATACCATTACATATTATGCCTAAGGAAGAGCAAGCAGGTTCAATGTCTACTTTTCAATTTATTTTTCTCTCTTCTACTATTAGATGTCTATCATTTTTAGATTTTAAAAAGTTCCATTTAACTTTAATATTAGATTAGTATTAATTGCAAAGTAAGTCCTTTGGAAGAAAAGGTTTATGGATCTGCAGTTGATTTTAAATCTGTTTTGACCACATTTGTAAATTAAGAATGCCTTTCTCTAAACATGAATGAAAATATAAATTGAAATAAAATGTAAATGTTAGAAAAAGCAAGCTATGTGCCATTATATTTATGCAGCCAGTTTGTGATACTTACAGACCTCAGTAACCAGGCTTAGCCGGGAAAGGTGCATTATGAAGTTTAGGGCACAATCTTCCTTGAGATGACACAGCTGATAAGACTCCTCTGGGGAGGTGAATTTATTCCTCTAGCTAAAATTCTCGGGAGAAGCATGGACTGTATGTTATCCAGTCCCGCTCCTAGCATAGTGGGGTTATACTGGGTACCATACTCTCTAGCTGCAGAGAGAAGAGGAGGGATGGATGGATTTTTTTTCTAAATTTCTTGTACCTTCTGTATGTGAATTTAAGAATTAGTATGATGCTGGCGTTTGTATTTTAACTGTTGGATAGAGTTCTTATTGATATTTTTATGCATGTCATGCAACTAATTTTTCTAGGAATAAAAACAGTATTATATATAACT